GCTAGATTTGTACCACGTGAGCATGAAATTTATCATCGTATCGCGCTTACGTCATTCGTATTTGGTGCAGCAGGAAATTTCAGTCATATTCACCGGTGAATATGAGTCAAATTCACCGGTGAATATGATTCGCGTAGACCACGCGAGACAACACGCATGACAACAACATGGCCGACAAAGTATAAATAGTATTGATGAGTGATGAATAATCTGGGTAAATGACGTAAAACCTGGGGCTTTTTCAAAATTTTGAAGTAAATTTTGAAAAATGTTGTCATTAATATTCCAAACGATATGTGATTCGAAAGAAAAGCGACGATACTTGCGTTAATCCGAAACTAAAACATCGTATTCACGAAGGTATGTGTCAAGTTTTTATTTCTCAACTTGGAGGCTTTTAATTTTCGGTATAATATATCATTTATAGACCCTCCGCTCGGGGGATTCGGCGAAATATTTCCCGAAGTGATGATATTTCCCTCGGGAAATATCATCACTTCGGGAAATATTCGCCCTCGGGAAATATCATCACTTCGGGAAATATTTCGCCGAATCCCCCTCGCTCCGGGTCTATAAATGATAAATATATTCTGATCATGCCTCGTTCTTCAAAAACCACTCTGCAAGTTGAGCGATTGCGCGTATACAGTCGGCCATTGCTAGCTTCACTGAAGCCGCTTGCATGTATGTCTTTATCATTTAACGAGTGCTCCCTTATATATCGGTTAAACACTTGTATGGTGATAAAATCCTAAATAAGCCATATCAGTGAATATTCTATACGGTTGTATAGAATATTCATGCATCATATAAAAGGCTTAGTCACCTTAGTGCGTTCTGTTGCTTTCTTTTAAACAACTTCCTATTCCGTATTATCACATATATTATCTTCCAAGCAGTATAAACAATGCCTTCATCTTAGCTTGAATCGAGCGTATTTTAATTAATGACTTAAAGTGCTTTCCAAATTGATCCGAAATATCCAACTTATTTGATTGCTCTTCCTTTTTGACTTTTTTATCATGTTTTCCAACTTATCTTGCAAATTATTTACCGCATCGTATTGCTTTGTGCAAATAAGCCATATCAGTGAAT